CTGATTAAAGGGGAAGGGAGGTGTGACAAATGTACTCACAGTGTTAGCAGTTCTAACTAGAACCACAAAGGGGAGGAAAGTGGCTGTTGGAAGAAGTCTTGGTATTTGAAGTACAGAGGGGATGTGGTCAAGAGTCTGGCAGAGGTACAGGACACTTTACTTCCCTGCTGAGCTGGGCATTTGGAAAGAGAAGGGGTGGTTGTAGATACATTTTTGGAAAGGTGGCAGGGGAAGTTATTAACCCACTATTTCTATATCTGCTGGGGGTAAAGGAAGACCAGGAATAGTCAGGAATGCAGTCAGGAACAGGAGGTTTGGAATGAGAAAAAGAGATGAACAGAACACAGACTGAATGTCCAGGGCCCTGAGGAGGGCCTCCAGAGGCTGGAGAACAAGACTGCAGCAACCCTGTTTGTGTCACTCTTCCAGTTCCTGACAAGGGAAAAGAGACAAGCACCAGGGAGGGACTGCTTGATTATGGAAATATAGGATGGAGTTTTAGTGGGTGGATGTGACAGAGTTAAAAGGAAAATCTCTCTCTAAGCAAGAGATTGAAGTGATGGAGCCCCAATTTAGGCTGAGTAGAAGGCCAGTAAAATGTAGTTTTAGGGAGGTAAAAAGCCACATTTTCTTCTTTTTTTTTTTTTTAAGATTTATTTATACATACAGAACTGGGTACAGTCTAGAGGTGTGGGGGATGAAAGGATCCACCTGAGACAGAGCAGGGAGCAGAACAGGCAGATCTACTGAAATAACACTGCTGAGGAGAGCAGTGGGCAGGCCAAGAAAGGTCTGCCATGCCAACTTGTATTGCAGTGGCTGCAATTGCTTCATGGTACTGTGCTTTAACCTGTTGGGCCACCAGGGAGGACCCAAAAGCCATATTTTCTTGAACCCAACCTCCAATCCTATTTCCCTGCAAAAGCATTGGCTATCTTTTTAAAAACAACCCATTCTGTTCTCCACAGGCATACAAATGTTATAAAAGTCTGAATGTTAAGTCCCAGGCCTGAATTAGTCTCATTCTGTACCTCCTCTTTTGAAAGATGACTAGTTTTAAAGGTTGTAAGCGCCTTATAAGCCCATAGCAAGGTGTTTTTTCTTTTCTTTTTTTTTTTTTTTTAAAGAGTTACTTATTTATGCATACAGAACTGGGGTAATGGCCAGAGGTGCGAGGGTGAGAGAATTCACCAGAGACAGAGTGGGGAGCAGAACAAGAAAGTTGAAGTACTGCTGAGGGGAACAGTGGGCGGGTCAGGAGAGGTCTGCTGCGCTATGTGGGTCACCTCCCTGGTTGGGGATCGAACTCATGCTACAGTGACTGTAGATAGCTTCATAGCGCTGGAATTTAATCCATTGTACCACCAGGGAGGAACCCACAAGGTGTCTTTTTTTTTTATTTCAAGAGTCCTCAAGGAGGACTAGGCTATTCCTGGCTGTGTAAGTCTTTTTTTTTTTTTTTTTTTTTTAATATTTGAAGAGCAGGTTTATTAGGGAAAAGGACAGAGGAGTAAAGGACACTTGCATAGGCACAAGTGGGCAGGAAGAGCTGCCCTGAAAGGAACAGGTTTGCTGGAGAGGCCTGCCTGATTTGCAGGTGGGCAGCCTAGAGAACAGCCTCTGCTGAGGGAGGTTAGTACAGCGAAGTCCCCGAATGGTACAGGTCATGGGCAAGCAGGAGCTTCTATCCTGCAGAGGGGGAGAGTGGGTAGAAAGAAGTATCTGCATAGTCACATGTGGGCAGAGGGACTACTGCCTTCCTTGTGTCTTGTGTCTCAATTGGAAACACACTTTCCTGTCATTTTTAAAAAAATATTTATTTATGCAAGCATGCATACAGACTGGGGTATAGGCCACAGGTACAGGGGTTGAGAGGATCCACTAGACAGAGTGGGGAACAGAACAGGCAGAATGACAGAAATACACTGCTGAGGGGAGCAGTGGGCAAGACAGGAGAGGTCTGCTGTACCATGTGGATCACCTTCCTGGTCCGGGGTTGAACTTGTGCTGCAGTGGCTGGCATTAACTTGATAGCACTGTCTTTAACCCCTGTGCCACCAGGGAGGCCTGCTTTATAGCAAATTTTAAAGTCAGATGGTGTCAGTTCTTAAGTTTGTTTTTCAAACAGTGGCTGCAGATAGCTTCATAGTGCTGCACTTACACCACTTTACACCACTTAGACACCACTGGGGAGGCCCACTTTCCTATCTTGATAAATGTTTTCCATACAAGCATCTTACCTTTTCTGGATTCAGAGAGGAACAGATGAAATGGAAAGTATGATAAATTCATCCAACAAATTGTTGAGGACTTGCTACATGTTGGATGCTGAGAAAGAGGAGACATGGCCCTCTGGGGAGATAGCGCTAAGTGACTGGTATACTCTGTGGGAAAGAGCAGCATAGTGTCCTGATGCCTTCTCAGAGGAGGCAGTGATGTGGGTTATGTCTCATAGGTTAAGTCAAAGGCACATGGGTAAGAAAGGATCTATATGAGGACCAGGACACAGCCAGATCCTCAAGCTGCAGATAACAGCTCTGGCCACCCAGGTTCTCTAGGTCTATTTCACTACTGTTCCGGGAAAAGCTAAGAAAAATCATTTTGTGGAGAAGGAATATAAAAAGTCAAGATGTGGCTTTCAAAGTAAGCAGGGCTGGCTTGTGGTAGTAGCTTACTGTATGGTTGTGTAAGAACTGGTATGTTCAGAAACCACCATGTGGTCATCTTCACTTCTTAGCAGGAGACGAACCTCAGAAGGAGAGTGCAAGGAGGAAACTGAGGATAAGAGAAAACAGGATACTTGTGGGAGTCAGGCCAGCTGTATGCCACCCCAACTCTGCCAAAGACTGACTGATGACCATGGGAAAATGACCATGCTTCATTGTGCGGAGACTTAGCCCTTTGTTCCCCCAGAGAAGTCCCCCCAAACTATAATAATAAAAAAGGACCATATTAGGCCCCTCCCTGGTGGTACAGCAGGTTAAAGCATACCACTATGAAGCTGTCCAGTCACTGCAGCATGAGTTCCATCCCCAGCCAGGGAGGTGACCCACATGGTGGGTCACATGGTAGGAGGTGCAGCAGACCTCTCCTATCTCACCCACTGCTCCCCTCAGCAGTGAACTTTGTTAGTCTACCTGTTCTGCTCTCTTCTCTGACTCTGGGGATCCTCTCACCACCCCTGCACCTCTAGCCTGTACCCCAGTTCTGTATACATAAATAAATAAATCTTTTTTAAAAAATGAAACACTTGGCCCTCCCTGGTTGCGCAGTGGTTAAAGCACAGCACTGAGAAGCTAAGGCCACTTTCTCATGAGTTCGATCCCTGCCTACCCTGGAGGTGACCACATGGCATGGCAGACCTCTCCCGACCCGCCCTCTGCTCCCCTCAACAGTGTGCTTTGTAGATCTGCCTGTTCTGCTCCCCACTCTGTCTCTGGTGAATCGTCTCCCTCCAGAACCCACACTTCACGCATGAAGCCAGTTCTGTATCCATAAACAAACAAATCTTTAAAAAAAAAAAATGAAACACTCAATTTAAAAATACTTGTGGGTCTGCTGAACAGATTGCAGGTTTGTTTGTGCATATAATCTCATTCATAATGCACTACAATTTCCACGTGTGATTTTAATACAGGGTGAAATTTTATAGGCCCTGACAAAGTGATCTGTGTGCAGAACCCAAGATTTGTATGGTCTTTTCCCCAATCTATAGTTGTCTCCCATATACCTGATTTAATAGTTTGACTATTGAATTAGCTTTATTAGGCAGCTGTCACTTTTTTTGCCATTTCACTGGCTAACATATAATTACAAAATCATAGTCACATGTATAGTATAGGTAAATATAACTAACTGCATATTTAGTCTTTTCACATAACTTTTTTTTTATGTAACTGGTTTACAACACTATAAGTTTCAAGAGTACTTTCACATTACATATGTATATATCATACTGCGCACAGGACCAAAGGTCTAGTTGCCATCCATCAACCTTCAATTGACCCTTTCCCTCTTCTTCCCTTACCCTTCAGTAATTGCTATTCTGTTGTAAGATTCTAAGGATTTGTTTTTATTTTGTTGGTTTGCTTTGTTTCTTAATATTTCAGATGAGTGAAATCCTATGATTTTTGCTTCTGACATATTTCACAAAATGACATACTCTGACATATTCCATACATGTTGTCATGAATGGCAGGATTTCACCTTTCTTTAAAAAATAGCTGAATACGGGCCCTCCCTGGTGGCGCAGCGGGTTAAAGCACAGCACTGAGAAGCTGAAGCCACTTCTGCATGAGTTCGATTCCCGCCTGCCCCGGAGGAGATCCACATGGTGTGGCAGACTTCTCCTGACCCTCCCGCTGCTCCCCTCAGCAGCGTACTTCATCGATCTGCCTGTTCTGTTCCCCGCTCTGTCTCTGGTGAAGCCTCTCACTGCCCCTGAGCCTCTGGCCTGTACCCCAGTTCTGTATGCACAAATAAATAAATCTTTAAAAAAAATAGCTGAATACTATTCTATCAAGTATATATAACACATCTTTATCCAGTAATCTATCAAAGGACACTTAGGTTTTTTCCATTTCTTAGCTATGGTGAAAAAGTCTGGTGTGAACATCAGGGAGCAGATGTCTTTTCAGATTAGTGTCTTTATAGCATAACTAACTCAATGCTGTATCACTTGATGGGACTAAGGACATGCAGGTACATTAGTCCCAGGTGGTATGCATGCTCTGGGCATAACCTAATAGGCTTAGGATGGAAGAGGATGCAAGTTCAGGACAGGACTATCTAAGAGCGTCTTACTATATATAGTATGATTGAAATCTATTTTATTTTCTTTCTTTATGCATACAAGAGCTGGATACAGCTCGAAGGCACATGGGGTGAGATGATTCACCAGAGACAGTGGAGAGCAGAATGGCAGATTGAAATACTTTGTTGAGGGGAACAATGAGCAAGAGAGGTCATCTCCCTGGCTGGGGATTGAACTTGTGCTACAGTGGCTGTGGATAGCTTCATAGTGCTGCGCTTTAACCCCTTGCACCACCAGGGAGGCCCCTGGAATCTATTTTGAAGCAGCACTTTGGTGTAATAAAAGACTTGTGAGCTTTGGATTCAGGCAGATGTGAGTCTGCTTTGGGCAGATTTTGTATGAACCTCTGCATCAGTTTTCTGTTACAAAATAGGGGGTTGTCATCTCTTGTCTCAGAGCAGGTGTGTGAGTGAAATAGCCAAATATTGCCCACAGGAGACATAACTCAGCTAATTCCCATCAGCCACTTGAGAGTATTTAGTACTCATCTCAGTTTCCTCTACTTTCAGAAGTCAGGTTTCTAGTCCTTCTGCCACCACTTCCAGTGTCAACCATCAGCTGATGCTAGAAGGGAAGTCAGGACCCTACTTTTCCTCTCTGGACTCCAGCATCGACATGCTAAAGAGAAGAGCCCAGGAACTGATCGAAAACATCAATGAGAGCAGGCAGAAGGACCACGTACTCATGACCAACTTCAGGGATAGTCTTAAGATCAAGGTGACAGATTACCTGGACATATACTTAAAACAAAGAAAGCTCATTGATTGGGCCGGGGGGGGGAGGGGGTCACTATGCTACAAGTGAAAAGGGAGGGTATGTTTATGTTCTCTGTGTGGTGCATATAATACCTACAGTTCAGCCTCACCCTTACAACAATCCTGCAAAGAAGAGATGATTAGATCTGTTTTATAGAAGGGAAAATTATGTTTTTAAATAATTTGCCCGAGTGATAGCCAGAACAAGGAATCAAAGTCCTGTTATAACCTCTTACTCATGAAATGGTTCATGGCTGTGGGAGTAGGGATTTGAGGCATACCCTGCCTTATTACACACAGATGTCCTCTAGAAGTTAAATGGTTTGTAACGAGAGAGTATATATGTCTGGACATGGTTGTCTTTACAACTAACACCTGATTTATATTCAGTTGCTTCTTAATGCACAATGGGTCCTGTGAGTTGGAGTCCACAGGTCATCTCTATCTATTGACCTCTCTCCCCAGCATCCCTACTACATCCCTACTAGTGCACACCCTGATGCATCATAGAAAATTTAGAAAGTAGAGAACAGTGTTAACATAGCAGAGAAAAAAAAAATCCCTGATACCACCACTCAGAGATCAGTTTGTTGCATGTTTTCTCCCAGTCTATTCTGTGTTTATTCTTCCCAGTCTGATTGAGCTTATTTATATATGTAATTTTACACCTTTTTTTCCTCTTAATTCTTTTTCAAATAACATTGCACTATATTATATAAGCTTCAGGTATGTATCATAGTAAATTAGTGTTTATTGTTTACTAATAAAAGTCTTAACTCATAATTTTGCATCTTTAAAAAAATAATTTGACATAGGCTATTATAGCCTCAGTAACTAAAGTTACTTTTATCATTTTCATAAAATACATTGTAGAAATAGAAGCAATCCACTTGATCCAAATGACTTGTGCATTTGGATTTTCCAAAACCTTATTTGATTTTCCAAGAACACATCTTATTCTTTTAAAGGTTTCTGACCTGACAGAGAAGCTAGAGGAGCGGATGTACCAGATTTATAATCACCACAACAAGATCATTCAGGAGAAACTCCAAGAATTCACCCAGAAAATGGCAAAGATAAGCAACTTAGAAACAGAGCTCAAACAAGTGTGTCACACAGTGGAGACCGTGTACAAAGATCTGTGTCTCCAGCCTGAGGTACAACAAACTTACTCAGGGTGGGGACAGGGAGGGATAGGGATGAAGGCATGGCAGGGAAGGAGAGTTGTATGGGTTAAACTGAAATACATCAGAAACCAAGGATATTAGCACCAGTGCCCAGCCCTTAACCCACAGGCAGTGTCGTGCCTCTGCTATCTTGGTTGTGGCCCCTGGTCCCGTTTCTCTCTCCTCCAGATCTCCCTCCACACTCCCACCATGAGAAGGTGTTTCCAAGAAGAGAAGCCAACGTATTAGCCAACTGCTCACACTATGTGTTTGACTCTGGTGACAAAAAGCAAAATCTCCTGTGGGCAGGCGGGGTCTCTCCATACCCCTCAGACCTTGGCATTGCCTAATTTAGTTTATTTATCCAAGCAGAGACCAAGGCTGAGACACAGGCCAGATGCCTTTGGGTAGTGGGGAAATCCTGCTACATCCCAGCACCTTCCGGGTGGTTACAAGTAAATGTGATCCAAACTGTGTCAAGCATGCAGATTTTTTATTATTCTTGCGCTAACTCTTTTTCTGCTCCAATATCAAGCATAAGAAATGGCTCCCTAAACGGAAGGGTCAAAGGCACACAGGGAACTCTTGTGGGTGTTGCCCAGGTAGTTCTCTCAGAGGTTGCTTCTGTGTCTCCTAGTCTCTCCTCACATCCTGTAAAAAGGAGTTTCTGCTCCAAGATAAATGGAATCCATTTCTATCCACCATTAAAAGTGAGTTGAGAATGTCTACATAGTCTCATCTTCTTAGGGAGCATATTTGCATGACTTCAAAAGGAAAATTTTGATATTTAAAAATGAGCCTCTCACTTCCACCATAAAAATTGCCACCTCCCTGACTAAGTGTAGGTCTCGGGGCTTGGCTGATCCAGGCTCCTGGATGACGGGTGCTCACTTGCCAGCTATGAATGCCTGGATCCCTGTGATGGCCCTTCCGAGGATCAGCGCATGAATGTCATGAGTGCCTAGAGAAGAAAAATGCAGAGGTTGTTTGAGTCTTAGGAGCTCACAATTTTCCTTTAATGTAATTCCTTGGAATAAGCTAATGGCAAAGTACAGTTTGTTAGCTATCTAACCATTCAAAATGTCAATGTTTTATTCTGATTTTTAAGAATTAAGTGTAGTGATCCGTAATGGATTATAAAGTGTTCTCGTATGTAGTATAATGAAATGTTTACCAAAAGATAACTTTTTATTAAAGTATTTTTAGAAAATATTTTTTAAAAAGTCAACCTTCATATTCTTCCTCAGGCTGCTACTCTGGAAGAACAGACCCACAGAGGTGGCAACTCCTGATAGCTACCAGGAATATCCCTTCTAGTGACCACCACCAAGAGAAGACTCAGAGACCACAGTTCCTGTTATACTGAGAAAATTTGTTTTCAGAGTTCTGTAATGCATTTTGGTGGGGGGGAAAAAACTAACCCAAAAGTTTTACACCACCCCAAAATACTGTGAATCCAGCCCGTACCATGGGCCCAGCTTTGGTGTTCCCCACACTTGGTCAATTCACTCTCCTACCCCCATCCCTGCATAGTTGATTAAACATTTTGATTTTCAACTCTATCAAATTTCCTTTTCATAAAGGCAGAGAGTTGGTAAGCTTTGGAAAGGAGTCAGGCCCTTTCTTTTACACAGGAGAGACAGAAAAGCAAGTATCAGACAATGCCTAAATCCCAACCTGTCTCCTAACATCTCATGTCCACTTCCCACACCCTCTTGTCTGGACTGTACTTTATAGAGCTCAGCATTCCAGTTGGCTTCTTCTCTCTGCCTCTCTTTCATGGAGTAAAGTAATTCTATTTACTTTCTAAAGTGGAGATCTAATCCAATACCTTTCCTTCATAAAACTACCTGAAAACCCTCTATACTTGACCTTCAGGTTTTTCTGGAATGTCCCATTCTAACTAGCACAGAGAAGCCTCTCCCTCTCCTTCAGAGCCTAATGTGGTCCCACTTTCTTTCTAAGAGACAAGTACCTGCTTCCTCCCGGTATTTCTGCCTGGCTCACTATATATATTTTTTCCTTTTCAATTATCTTTGTCCATGTCTGTCTTCCTTTGAGGCCAGGTGTTCTGGGGCCCCTGCAAGTCACAAAGAGCTGCCAGGGCCAAACCACAACCTGTAAATAGTTGGCCTTTCCTTTGTAATCTTAACTTAAAAAATAGTGATGATTCCTGCAGGCACTTTCTCCTGGGCATCTACCAGTTCATTGGGCACTGTGCTCCACTCAGGCTGTTCAAGAAACCTTACAACAGTCTTTGGAACATACCCCTCTCAAGCATAATAGGAGAGGGACTGAGAGTACACTTCACTTCCCCTGTTTCTGTGGGAGTCACACCAGATGAAGGGTATGGGTGGTACTTGACCCAGGTCACACTGCCAGTGATAACTGAAGAACTAGGTCCTAGTGTCCCTATCCCTCTTCCCCAGACAGTAGGCTACTGTGACACCCTGTAGGGACCCTATTCTCACCTTCATAGGTGTTCACAGCCTCTAGATTCATGGCGTGCCGAATCACATGATATTCATCAGAAATTCCATTTCCCCCCAGCATGTCTCGGGCCTGGCGAGCAATGTCCAGGGCTTTCCCACAGTTATTCCTCTTCAGCAAGGAGACCATTTCTGGGGTGGCCCTGGGAATGGCACATATGTAATAGCACTGGAGTAGAAGAAATGAATCTGCTCTGGGCTGTAAGCATCCCCATGCCTTTGGCAAACGCCACCAAAGAGTTCTCAAGAAGGGATAAGGGTCATAGCCCTGGCCCATCACAATCAAGAGGGTAAAAAAGGACAAGCCCCAGATGCCCCATGTTACAATACCCTCTCTTCCCAGGCCCACTACCACCATGTGCATAAAAGGTCATGAAGTCCTGCCACAGCTGCCTCCCCTTCTTCCCAAAGCCCCTACTTGTCTTGATCCTTCAGGCGGCCAAGCTGTAAGCAGGCATGAAGGCCCAGTGTGATCTCAGTGAGCATGTCCGCCAGCTTCTTTTGAATTAGCTGGTTCCTTGCCAAAGGGACGCCAAATTGGATCCTAGATGGGCAAGGTCAGGGGTAAGTATAAGAGGGGAGCCTCTCTCCAGTCCTGTTCCAGGACCCCATAGCTATAGAAGCCTCCCCAGATTGTCTCAGCTCCTACTGAGCCTACTTTGTCCCTCTTTGATTGGCCCCTCCCTGCTCAGAAAGACTCCTCAGCCATTTCACAGTGAAAGCTTAGGCAGGGTAGTGGGCAGGGGCTCACCAATGGGGTAAAGGGTGGAACCCGAGCCTCCCGCATCCCCAGGAGATCTCATTGCAGCCCTCACACACCTGTCCAGGGTGTACTGCCGAGCGGTGTGCAAACAGAACTCGGCAGCTCCAAGAACACCCCAAGAGATGCCATACCGGGCGTTGTTTAGGCAGCCAAAGGGACCCTGTAGGGTTCAGAGGGAACCTCAGCCTCATTCAGGAGGTGCTGAGAGAACCTATTTATAACTAACTATGGAGTAGGAAGGATCCCCTTCCCTGGACACAGTGTAATAAGGGAGATATGGAACAGCCATTTAAATCACAATGGATGGCAGGCTTGCTCAGTGCTCACATTTGGTTGGCACATAATTCTACTAGCCTGAGATCTAGGTTGAGCCTCAGACCTAGGGGTCAGTGCAAGGAGATAGGAAGATGCACACATACCAAAGGATTAACTGGTTCAGGCCCAATGGACAGCCAGTATGAGCCAGATGGCCACCCAGAAGGGGCAGTTTCTGTATATCGTTGAATTAGGCAGAGACAACTTGAATCAAAATAGTCATGTATTGCCATATGATAGCATTTAAGTCAAGGACAGACCATACATAAGATGGTAGTCTCCACATAAAGCCCCCAAGTATAGTAGGCTGTTTGTGTAAGTACATTCTGACATTCACACAATGATGAAATTGCCTACCAGTGCATTTCTCAGATTGTGTTCCCCAACATTAAGTGACACATGACTATTGTGTGGACTCTATTAGCACATGAACCATGTTTGTCTATTCTCCAGCTGGTGACCCAATGCCAGTTCCCAAGGTGTTCACTGCTCACCGCCAGGCCAGATGCATTGGGCAACACATTCTCCTCTGGAACCTCTACACCATCCATGACGATCATGCCTGTGGCTGAGGCCCGCAGGGAGAACTTTCCCTCAATCTTTGGGGATGAAAGGCCCCGCATCCCCCTCTCCAACAGGAAGCCACGAATGCAGTTATCTTCACACCGAGCCCATACCACAAATAGGTCTGCCACCGGTGAGTTGGTGATCCTGGAAGCAGAGGCAGACAGTGAGGGGAGTGTCCACCACCCTCCTGCCCCTGCCCACCCACCTGAGCAACCCAAGCTTCTCACCAGGTTTTGGCGCCATTTAGGGTGTAGCTTTTGCTGGAGGGGTTGTGGCGTGCTCTGGTCTCCATGCTGCCAGGGTCACTCCCATGATTGGGCTCTGTCAGCCCAAAGCAGCCCAGGAGCTCCCCAGTGGCTGTGGGTATGAGGTTGAGTCACCAGGCTGGCTGTCTCCCATTCATCCCCTCATGAAAATTGTCAGCCTTTCTTTACTAAGTCAGGCTCTGGTAGATCTGGTCCTGCCTTCATGGCACTCCCAGGTAGTGGGAAGATATACTGGGATGGACTCCCACAGGAGTCAGGAAGGAGTTGGTTACACTGTCTTGAAGGGCAGTGAAAGGACAGGGGGCAGGAAAAGGTGTGGGGAAGAGCTGTTTTGGCAGAGAAACAGGCTGTGCAAAGGCCAGTTGTGCATTTGGAGAATTTCAAGTAGCTGAGTCTGGTTGGGAAAATACAAATAAAAGAGTGACCAGGAAAGAGGTGGAAAGGTCAGTGAGGCCTTGTGGACCCAGTCCAGAAGTTAAGACTTTAAACTTTGGGCTGGGAAGGGGGGAAGCAGAGAAAGTCAATTAGAAAAGAGAAAGAAAGGAGCAAAATCAAGACAGATGTAAGAGGGGCAGTGAGGGTCAGGTGTGAGGTATGGTTCATGATGTAGTTGGAGGTCCAGGTGGCCACTGGTGCTGACCTGTAGGTGGGGAGAGAAGGCAGGCTGGGGGACAGCACCACCCACAGTACTCACCCAGCCGGGGCAGGTACTTCTGCCGCTGTTCCTCACTGCCATAGGCGTAGATAGGGTGCATGACGAGGGAGGACTGGACACTCATTGCTGACCTGTAGCCACTATCTACCCGCTCCAACTCTCGGGCCAGGAGCCCATAGGCCACAGATGAGACTCCAGCACAGCCATATCCTGGTGGGGAGAGGGGAAATAGAGGGGACAAAACCCTGCCCATCTGGGTCCAGTGATTTCTAGGGCCCAAGATGAAGAATGAAAGTTAAGCTCATTTCAGCCCCATAGGATGGAGGGACAGCTAGAAGCTTTGATTTACAGACTGGGGAGCCTGGACTTAGGGAGAGGAAGGTGTTGGCTCCAGGACATCCTAGGAGCTGTGACTGTTAAGAGAAATGTGTCCCTACCTTTGATGGTGGGGCCCAGCACTCCGAGTTCCCCCATCTCTGAAATGATCTCCCGATGAAAAACTGCAAAGGGACACAAACACCCAACTTCAGGTCTAACTTAAGCCCCTGGAGCTCCCAACCCCGGGATGGAGGGACCCAGAATCCCAGCTATCAATAATAAAATAGCAGAACTCTGCCTCTGGTGAAACCTCTCACCACTCCTGCACCTCTGGCTTGTACCCCAATTCTGTATGCGTAAATAAATCTTTAAAAAAAAAAAACAAAAAAACAGCTAGAGTGCCTGGTGAAGGACCCTTGTCACCTTCATTGCGATTGGCCAGCAGTATTCGGGGCATGAGGCGCTCCTGGCAGTAGGTTCGGAAGGTGTCCCTGATAAGGATCTCATCCGCTGTCAACTGTTCCTCCAGTACCAGTGGGTCCTTCCAGTCAAACTCCGCACGCGAGGCTGGGACGAAATGGGAACGCGCCTCAGCCAAGCCCACAGATCCCAGCACCCTCCTATCTCCAATCCTCAGCCGCAGTCCTCCACTCCCCTCTGACACCCGGTGGATGTGGGCTGCAAGCGGGCCTGACAACGTGGCCTTCCTCTGGGAAACTCACTGCCTCTGTTCCTCTAGCCCTAGGCACGGCCCTGCCTCCCCGCCCGGCAGCTTCGTATTCTAGGACAGAGCCGACCAGTGGCAGACCGACAGTTGGAAAAGGCTGCAGACGCAAGGTGCGACGAAGGGTCCTTACACTTGGTCGCTCTGCTCAGGGTCTTTCCGCTCTTCTCTGCAAATACAGGGCAGAAAGTCGTCCAGAGAACGCCTCCAGTTCCTCCCTCCCCACCCTAGGCTGGTCCGGTACTGACCGGTCTGTGCCGCCGCTGAACCCAAAGCTCGCAGGATGCGCAGGCCAGGTCGGCAGCTCAGCAGCCGCGCGGAGAAGCCTCTGAGGGCCATGTGGGCAGCGGGCCGGCAAACAAAGCTCTAGAGTCGCCCCGATCTGGAGCAGCGGGACGTCAAAGACAGTCAGCTCCCCGTTGCACCACCTCGTGCCAGCCCTTACCTGCAGTGCTCACCCCACCGGCTACCGCGCAAATGACACAGGCTTTTGACCTCAAAAGGGGGAGGGAGGGGCGGAGGCCCTACGGAGCCTCTCATTGCTTGGTCCTAAGACCCAGATCCATTTTAGGTCTGCCTTTTAAAAAGGCCCCGGCAGTTTTGCCCCGCGAGGTCGGCGCTCCCTAGACGGAGGCCGATTTGCCCCTTTAAGAGGCAGAACAGAGAAGGGGCGGAAGACAACTGTGTCAACACCATTGGCCCGTTGTATCCCTTCTATGATTGGTCCTGAGCAGGCGCTCGGTCCTCTCTTGATTGGTCAATTGCAGGGGTTGTTGCGGAAGGTGTCTAGAGTTAAGTAAAGAAATTGAGGCTGGAGGAAAATGAATCCTGGAAACCACATCAGACCTCGAGGTTTCCTCTAATAGGGAGCTGTGTGTATGTGAAGGTAGGCTCCAGTAGGCGACCTCAGCCCAACCTGCCTGCTGCCAGGCTGTTCCAGGAAGCACAACTTGTCGCCTGTGTATGAGTAGTGTACTTCGTGTGCAATTTGATTCTATTTATCTGTATGTGATTGTGTTTGTGTATTTGTATGTAAGTGGAGTTGACTGTGTCTGTGACTGGGGTTCTTGACCCTGGTGACTTTGTGTCTGTGTAACTATCTATGACTTCCTGTGCCTGAATGTCATTGTGGTTTTTTGTCTGTGTAATTATAAGCCTGTCTAATGGCATTCTGTGAGATGGTGTGTCTGAGTGGTTGTCTGTGTATGACTGTGTTTTGATGATTTCTGTGTGTGCGTGTGGCTGCTCTCTTTGTGATAATATGAGTGATATTTGTGTGTATGTCTGTGATTGTGTGTATCTGTATGTCTGTGATTTGGTCTCTGTGTGATTGTGAGACTGAGTGTGACATCAGCATATATCTGAATGAAGAGCTATGTTCATTCACATAAGTCACTTTTTTGAGCTTTTGTTTGCTGCACATTTGAGATAAGGTGCATCTCACTTGCCCATCTCTAGCTGAAAGTCACATATCTACCATGACCTGCCCATTTCCCAGGTGGGGAAAGTAGTCCCAGAAGCAGAATCATATTGCACAAAAACACAGTAGGCCAGGTGCAGAGTATGGAGAGAAATCCAAGCCTCCTGATTCCCAGAAAAGGCCCCTTCCTATCTGGGAGCTTGTCTTCCCACATCAACACTCTGGGTAATGAGTATAGCATGTCCTGCCTCACACATCATCCTGACTGAGCGTGATGGGAATAGCTGTGGGGTTATGTATGAATATGGTCACCAGCCTTCCATGTTTCCGCATACCTAAGACCTGAGTTTCCCTGGGCCCTCCCACATGTGAGGCTTTCTGGACCCTAATATCCGGAAAGAAGTCATTTGAACTCTCTTCACCATACAGTAGTGAGCCCATCACCTCCACTGAAATGTCTGAATTTCTTCATAAATCTCTCATTTGGGTCACCTCCCTCCTATGAGCAGTGGCTTCTCCCATCCCTACCTAACCCCAAAACTGTTCTTCCCATGTGTGTCAGAGGATGATGACAGCATACATGCTTGGGAACCCAGGTAAAGGCCAGGTTTGTCACATTGGAAAGTCCATCATTCCTCTTGGCCACATGCTCCCAGGGGCCTTATCTCTCCGCCAAGTGCCCCCTTTCTCTAGGCTTTTAATTAACCCATTGTCACATCTTTCAGAGTCAAAATTGTCTGTTTAGTGCCTCCTCCTAAGCCAAACAGCTGTCTCTTCCAGAGAGACTGTGATCTTCTCTAAGAAGCCACTCAAATTCTAGCCACAGCATTTTATTCACATAGCATATTTCATTCATATAACATAAAAATGAGTCATTCACAGTTTATAATTCACGGGTCTTCCTGGTGGCTCAGAAACTATTAGATCAATGAGATTGAAAAAAAAAAAGAATAGGGAATGGAAAATTTTAATCACTCAGTGACAAGTTTGACTATGGGACTACGTAGAGTCTTATAAACAACATTAAAGATAACTATCTTTTTAGAATTTTAGACTTATTAATGATATCTTTGCATTACCTATTAAAAAATTAAATGGCATGTATAGTGAGATTCTTTGAAGCTATGTTTTAAAAGATGTATGACTTGGGCCTTCCTGGTGGTACAGAGGTTGAAATCTCACTCTATGAAGTTATAGCCACAGCCACTGAGGCACAAGTTCAATCCCCAGGCTGGGAGGTGACCCATATGGCAAAGCAGACCTCTCCTGTCTCATCTGCTGCTCCCCTCAGCAGTGTATTTCAGTTGATCCGCCTGTTCTGCTCCCCACTCTGGCTCTGGTGAATTCTTTCACCTCCTGCACCTCTGACCTGTACTCAGTTCTGTATGCATAAATAGATAAATCTTTTTTAAAAAAGGATAGAGGGTGGTGAGAGGATTCACCAGAGCCAGAGTGGGGAGCAGAACAGGTGGATCAACTGAAATACACTGCTGAGGAGAGCAGCAGGCACAACTGGAGAGGTTTGCTGTGCCAAGTGGGTCAGCTTCCTGGCAGGGGATTGAACTCGTGCCACAGTGGCTGCAGATAGCTTCATAATGCTGCACTTCAACCTCTGGCACCACCAGGGAGCCCCTTAATAATTCACGGGCTCTCCCTGGCGGTGCAACATGTTAAAGCACCACATTATGAAGCTTTCAGAAGCCACTGCAGCACGACTTCTATTCCCAGCCAGGGAGCTGACCCACATGGCGTGGCAGACCTCTCCTGACCTGCCCACTGCTCTCCTCAGCAGTGTATTTCAGCAGATCTGATTGTTCTGCTCCCTGCTCTGTCTCTGGTGGTCCTCTCACCCACCACACCTCTGGCCTGTATCCCAGTTCTGTAAGCATAAATTAACCTTTTAAAAATGTTTATAATTCAGAGAAGAGATATTTATACATCACAGTTCTGATAGAGGGTCAATTTCCAAAATATATAATTTATACAACTTAACAAAAGCAAGAACAAAAACCAAACAATCCAAATCCCCTTCAAAAAATGAACCTACATAGACACTTCTCCAAAGAAAATATAGAGATGGATCAAATACCCATGAAAAAATGTTCAGTGTCATTTATTGTAAGAGAAATGCAAACCAAAACCATGCTGAGATCCCACCTCATCACTGAGAATGATCTATATAAAAAAGTGTAAACAAGTGTGGGCAAAGATGTGGAGGAAAGGAAGATTAACACATGTTGATGGGAACGTAACTGGTCCAACACTCTGGAAATGGGTATGGAAATGCCTCAAAAACTAAAAATGGAAATCCCATATCCATTTTATTGTATCCAGCAATACCACTACTAAATATTTACTGTGAAATTTTGAAAAATCAAACTGAAATATTTATATACTTCAATGTCCACAGCAGCTTTATTCACAACAGTCAAGGCATGGAGCCAACCTGAAAGCTCTCTACCAGGGACCTCCCTGGTGGCCTATGTGTTGGAACTAAGCACTGTCATCATTATTACCTGAGTTGAGTCCCTAACTAGCCCACATATGGCACAGCAGACCTCTCCAGTCTTGCTTTAGCAGTGTATTTCAGCAAATCTCCCCACACCTCTGGCCTACACCCCAATTCTTCTATACAAAAAGAAAAAAATGCATTGTCAGATGACTGGATAAAGCAATGGATGGGTACATACTCAATGGAATACTACCCAGCTATTAATTAACAATGATGAAATAATGCCTTTGGGGCAAACTAGACAGATTTTGAGGTAACAATGCTAAGTGAAATAAGTCCGAAAATTTATTTCAGATGATTTCACAGCAAATTGGTAAAACAAACCAAGAAATAATTTAGACTCTGAAAAAATTGAACAGTTCCTTAAGAGGTTCAGGGGAAGAATAGAAAGAATAGAGGATTGCACAGGGGCTTTGGTGGAAGGCAAGCAAAGCACATGCATGTATGATGTTGCTTCTATACAAATAGGACTATATGTGACTTGAGTTCCTTCACTTTGGATGTTTTTGAGATTCACCTGCGTTGTAAAATGTGTTAGAAATTCATTCCCTTATTGTTGGTGTGATGCCCGCCTGACTTTGACTTTGTTCAATGCCTGGTAACAGTCCACCTGGTGCATGAGAAACCACATATGTCTGAGGGAAAGCCCTGGGAAACCAGGAGTGTGAGCCAAGAATACTGACAGAGGTCATGCTGGTGCAGCCTAGCAATTCAGTAAAGATAAAGTGCCAATTAAGGAAAGAAATCCAGGTGTACGTGTGTGTGTGTGTGTGTGTGTGTGTGTGTGTGTGTGTGTGTGTAAGCTGCCCTGTACTGTTTTGAGGAGGAGGTCCTGGGAAAAATTAAACTGTATACAGAGCTTAATTAAAAATATAGGCTTTTGCTGAAGCTTGGGAACAAGTGGTATAGAATGGGATGCTTAAAAATAAAGTTTCACTAAATGCTGAACATAGCAGTCATTCCTCTGGTTTATCCTTTGCAGTTGCGGCCCAGGTCCCAGACCCACTAGAGGTCCATATTGCTAAATAATATTTCATTGTGAGGATGGACATTTTATTTATCCATTCATTTGTTAATTGGCACTTTGGCTATTAAAATAATGCTGCTGTGAACACTGACATACCAGCATTTAGTTGAGTCCCTGTTTTTAATTCTGGGTCATAGGATAACTGTGTTTAACTTTTTGGAGAACTGTTAAAACTATTTTCTACAGCTGCTCCACCACTTTACATTCCTACCTGCAATGTACAAGGATTCTAACTTCTCCACATCCTTGGCAACAGTCATTATATATGGTATATATGGAATATATGGTAGGTTATGTGTGTGTATGTATATATGTGTATATGTGTGTGTGTATACTTAATAACTATTATAGGCATTCTCATGGGTATGTCTACTACTAGTTGTCTCTTCTCCCTGCCAGCCACCCCCCCCCCAAGTAACACATATTTTTTTCTCTTTTTGTGTGATGCCTTTGTGTGACACCAATTGTTGTGTGTGGTGCTCGGTCTATGTCTGAACAAAATTGTCTTTTGTTACTAGGGTATTGAGTCATGTTAATGTGATTGTGTTTGCCTGGGCTGTCCCCTGTGCCAGGGCAGTGGTAGCTGTGCAATTGTGTGACTAAATTATCACATATGTAACAGGGCTGTGCACAGTTATCTCTGTCTCATGAATAGCTGCTTTCATGGCTACAGCATTCTGTTTGTGACAGTTGTGTGCAGCATATATTAGGCTTTTGTGTCTGAGGCTATAGCTCTGTGACAACATATCCAGTAGTTCCCGTGTGTCTATTTGATTGTGGTTCAATTGTGTCAAATGTTTGAGTGTGACTGTGTGTGATTGTGTTAGCACCTGTCTGTGATGATGAATTCTATGTCTGAAGGATTGTGTGGCTAGAACACTGTGTAGTATTTGGTTGTATTCTGGTACCTGGGAATTGTGCATGTGCATGAGCTACATGACACATAATTATACTGACAGGGACTATATTATGTCACTGTGTAGTTACATATTTCATGTGTGAGTGACTACTAGCTGTCTGTGATGTGTGTCTTGTTATTCCCCTTGGGGTTCCCAGGCCACCGCATGCAGGTCCCTGGTGCAGTATCCCGGTTTCCTCCCCTGAGTCAGAAACCCAGCAGCAGCCCACTCAAGAGCATGTCTTCTAAGGGCCAGGTACATCCAGTGACCCTATGCAACAGTCTCGTCTCACACAGGAGGGGGGGTCACATCCCCTCTCTAGCACCTACTACATGGGAGCAATGTAGTTCCACCAGCTTCCGCTGCCACACTTCCCCGTGCCCTGCAGCACAGCCTGGGGTTCCATGGTAGAACCAGCTGATGGTGGAGTCCCCACATGCCACTGGGCTCAGACCCGAGGAACTCATAATCCAGAAAAATTAAAGTTAGCCTAACATGAAACCCTAGTCCCTAGTCCTCCTACTCACCAGTCTGTTTTTGGCCCCCACCTGATAGCAGCAACCAACATCTGGGTCTTCTGATAATGCGTGGCTTGGCAGGGAGTTTGTGCCAAGTCTCACCATCAGCATGGTTGATGCTCTTTATTGGGGAAAGGGGAGCTGTAGTTCCCCAGCTTGGAAAGACAAGGTCTTCAAACCCCTTCCCAGAATACATGTTTTCTTTGTCATGTCTTCTCCAAGAAGGTAATTGAAATCAGGTTCCCAAGTCTCTCCTTCGTGAACCTAGTAACTCATCTTACTCTACTTTTGAACCCCCAATCCCTGATATTCTTACCCTTGAGCCCCCAGCCCTTGAGATCTGACTTGGCTTTACACACAGGGTCTGTCTTTTAACCCCAAACTGTCAAAAGAGTGGCCTATTCCCCAGAAACAGTGACCCCCGCCTTGCCTGCCCCTTATCAGGGACTGCAGCCAATCAGCTAAAGTCAGAAAGGAGCCTTCCAAGGGGCTATCAGAGCTTCAGAGTCCACGAGACTGCTGAAGGAGAGGAGGCCTGAGGCCCAGGGTGGGCACGAGCCATGGGTGCCGCTGAGACCGCCTTGCCCTCCATCAGCACACTGACCACCCTGGGCCCTTTCCCAGACACGCAGGAAGACTTCCTCAAGGTGGGGCCAGGTGGGGTCAAGGTGGGCTGGTGGGGTCCTGGGCTGAGGTCACATTTTGGGGGGCAGGTCTGTATCTTGCCTTGAGATATGGTCAGATCTTGTCCAGAGACCTGGCCAGAAACCAAGGGTCCTCAGCTGAGGTCAGGGGACTGGACTTGCGCTGAGTTAGGGGGGTATTTCTGTCATAGAAAGTGACACTAGGAGCTGAACCTGTTGTGGATCTTGTCTCAGTGAGACAACTATAGCTATTAGGGGAGTACACCAAATGTGTCCAAGGGACAGATGGGAATTAATGTTGGGAATTAATCTGGAGGGAGGGTGGGGGACAGGGAAGGAGATTCTGGGGGAAACTGAGGCAAAGTTGCCCCCTCCACCAGTCTTCCATTCTTGACTCTGCCACCCCTTCCCCCATGCTTGAGTGTGGCTGCAGATAATGTAAGTCTTATCTCTTGTTTCCAGCCAGACCCAGTAGACCTCTATCCCAGGAGCTCAGGGGTTAGGGGTTAGAGGCACTGTTCAGGGAGCCTAACCTACTGACATGAGACACAAGCAAACAGGACCCCTTTACAGAACCTCTGGCCAACCTATGCCCATTAGGGCTTCTGGTACTCTCCATCTCTGGGCTGGGCACCCTGGGGACCCTGAAATCTCCCTCTACTGACTCCCTCCTGCAGTGGTGGCGCTCTGAAGAGGTACAGGACTTGGGCCCTGGCCCACCTGACCCTGCTGGGCTGCCCCTTCATGTGAAGCTGGAGACAGAGGCTGCAGTGGTGGAGGACAAAGACCACGACGACGAGGAGAGGGACGAGGCCTCCGCCTGGGACCTGGATCTGTTCCTCACCAACTTCCCCTACCCAGAGCGGGTTGGTGCGTCCCAGACCCCGGGAGAAGTCACGGGGACACAATTCCCGCAGCAGCCCGAGACACTGGGCCCCTACACTGGTGGCCTGGGGCTGGTGGCTGGGCTCTTGGGTCCCGACGGTCACCCAGGCTGGGCGCGCCCAGCCCCACGAGTTCCGGCCCCCGACGCCTTTGTGGGTCCAAACCTGGTCCCGACCCCAGAGCCCAAGGCGATGCCGCTGCAACCGGTTTACCCGGCTCAGGGTGTGGGAACCCCCGGCAGTTACTTCCCGCGGACCGGGCTTTCACTGCCTGCGGCGCCGGGCGCCCCCTACGGGCTAGTGTCCGGGTACCCCACGCTGTACCCGACGCCTCAATACCAAGGGCACTTCCAGCTCTTCCGGGGACTCCGGGCTCCCGCGCCCAACCCCACCGCCACCTCCTTCCTAAGTTGTGTGGGCCCGGGAACAGCGGGTGTGGGACTCGGGGGAACCGTAGGAGATTCCGGAGGGACAGCCGAAGTCGCACCATCCAAGCGCTGCAGGCGCTCCTGCGCGCGCAAGCGGCAGGCGGCCCACACTTGCACGCACCCGGGCTGCGGCAAAAGTTACACCAAGAGCTCACACCTGAAGGCGCATCTGCGCACGCACACCGGTGAGTGCGCGAAATGCGGAGCTGGAGGCCGGGCTTTGAGAGCACAGCTCCGCGGGGTATGGGGCTGGAAACCTGACCTGGGGGAGCGGCTGAAAGGGAAGACCCTATGCTAGGGGCCGGACCTGAGGCTGGAACTGCAGCAGAGTCTGCGAGCAGGGGGCGGGCTGGCAACCTCGGGAGTGGCGCCAAAGTACCCTTAGCGGTGAGGGAGGTAGGTGGGGACGGAAAGGGGACCTAGAGAAGCTGAGCAGCATTTCGGGGAACTGACCGGTAGGACCTGGTTGAGACACAGCTGAGGAGCAGGACTAGAGGAAGACTTGCAATGCCGGGGACAGGCCCAAAGACACAGGATTCAGGTTTGGGGCAAGCAGGAAGCCGGGAGTTAGGGGTTGTAACCAGGAGTAGAAAGTCATATAAAGCCAGGTTTGCTAGATACTGAGGTGGAGCCAGACGGCAGGGAGTGTGACCTGGACTCAGGAGGTGAGTCTACAAGATGGAAGGTTTCAGGGATCCACAAACATAGGCAGGTTCTGGTGGGAGGGTGAATAGCAAGGAAACAGAGGAGAGTGGGCTTAGGAGAAGCTGGGTCTGAAGGATCCAAATACCAGGCGGGGCCCTGAATAGGAAAGGGGTGGGAAAGAAGAAGGAGTCAGGTCTCACCAACGGTGGGGCCAGGTGTACAGACCTATCTAGGGTCCCAGGCCAGTAGGGATAAGGTGTAGCCCGGCAAGTGCAATCCTCACACACTGGACATAGAACACAAGGTGAATTTCAGAGTTCAGAGTTGAAGAGCCAAGTCCAGGGTTGGGCAGCAGCTAGAAGGTTCTCTGGGGTAAAAGAGTAATTGGAACACAGGGTGGGGGGAGGGGGCAAAAAAAGGAAAACAAACAGGGTGGATGAGTTTAGGATGCAGGAAGGGTAACAAGGGGGAAAAAATGGAATCAGTGGAATACTGGACACGACTTGGGTCAGAAGTGAGGAAGGGAGAGGCACAAAGATGCTAGTACCAGAGTAAAGGTGAGGGTCACAGAGAGGAGGCTAGAGAGCTCCCTTCCTCTTCTGGAGAATGAGTGCCTCTTTACATTTTGCACTCTAGGCCCCTCCTTTCTGCTTAGGTGCCGGCAAAAGAGTTGGCCAGATGTGGGGGAGGGTGAGAGGGAGGATGGGGCAGGTGGGATGAGAGGGGTGGGCTTTCAGTGCTGCTCAAGACTTCCTTGTCTCACAGGGGAGAAGCCATATGCCTGCACTTGGGATGGCTGTGGCTGGAGGTTTGCGCGCTCAGATGAGCTGACCCGTCACTACCGGAAGCACACCGGACAGCGTCCCTTCCGCTGCCAGCTCTGCCCACGCGCTTTTTCACGTTCTGACCACCTGGCCTTGCATCTGAAGCGTCACCTTTGAGGACTGCCCAGACATTTGGATATGTGACTGGGGGCAGAACAAGAGCAGATCTATGAGGGTGGTTTTCCTTTTGATGGACTCTTGCCCGGACATGCTGCCCCTCAGAACCACAGATCCACCTAAAGATTAAGGACTGACCCATAAACCTGGGGAGCCCCCAAAAGAAGCTCCCACGTGTTTTCAGCCACATGGTCACACAGAATACCAACGGTCATGCAGCACAGTGAGACAGACTTCCAAATGAACAATTCAGCCGGACACTCAGATTTCCGACCAGACACACTCTATTGGACCCTTAGGCCAGCTCACAGGCGGCCCTGGAAAGTGGGAGGGCTTGTCGACTGAGGCTTCCCTGGGTCTAGAAGGGGCTTCACAACTGTGACATGCATAGTGGCTGCAGTCTGCTGTGAATGGTTATTATGGGTCCTGTAAAAATGCCCTCCCAGATAAAGCTTCAGTGTTCGACCGATTTTGTGGGTTTTGAGTGTTGGAAGATGGAAGGAATGTGTTCCCCCCAGAAATGATAGTGGGGGTCATACACAAATCCTAAACCTCTGCCACACCAGGCTTTGCTACCTCTTGCCCTCAGACCCCACTGCCCTAGTACCAGAGCCCTAGTACCCTTCGTCTTGTTACCATCCAAGCTACTCGCTTAGCTTAGTGGGATCCCGGGAAAACATGCAGAATGAAAAGGGGCGGGCTGAAGCATGAGGACCACTTAATAGACCAAAGATCAGAGGAATTAAATGTAAAGCAGGAAAGGAAAAAAATTACAAACTTGCGTCCCGCCCAGAAATCGGAGGAGCGCGCTCCCGCCTAGGGGTGAGGGTTGGCGGTGTTGGCCAGTCAGCGTGGAGGGACGTGAGCTTTGATTCGACGGAAGAGGAATAAGAGGCGGGACTTGGTGCCACCTGACCATAAAGGGGCGTGGTCTGGAGTGAGCGCTAGAGGGTGGGTGTATTCCGTGTCGGTTGATAGGGATGTAGGAGGCGGGGCCTGCAAGGAGTGATAGCCCGAAAGGAAGCCCCGCCCCGCATGGGGTGGGGCTTCGGGGTTGCATTTTTCATATCTCTGCTTTTCTGCTCGCGGGCGGCGTCTCCACACTCGTGATGTTGCTGCCGGGGCTCCCAAGCAGGTTTGGAGAAGTGAAAGTCGCCCGGAGTCGGACCTGCCCCAGCTCGTGACTCGGCGGCCCGCGGTCCCGACACAGATTTCTTCACCCCAGCCCCATGGCCGCTCTGAGCCAGCTGCTATTGGCGCTGCTGTGGGTCCCTGTAGGGAGCCTGACCTGCTATGGAGACTCTGGGCAACCTGTGGACTGGTGAGTACGCGGGCACCCACCCTCCCAGGCCAGAGGGGCTGGGGGTTGCTGCATTACTTCACAGCCTGGGGTAACCATTTTCTCTTCCATTTCTGTCTCCCCAAACTCCAGGTTCGTAGTCTACAAGCTGCCGGCCCAAAGTGGATCGGGCGTTGCAGCGCAGAGGGGGCTGCGGTATAAATACTTGGACGACCACTCAGGAGGTTGGCGCGATGGCGTCGGGTCCATCAACAGCTCGGAAGGGGCAGTGGGGCGCAGCCTGCTGCCTTTGTACCAGAAAAATGCCAGTCAGGTGAAGAGGTGCTTGGGTGAACCGGGGTGGGGCTTTTAGGTGGACCAGGCCTGGGGGAAACCTTGACGTTGCTACATGCATCTCCTTCAGCTAGCCTTTCTACTCTACAACGACCAGCCGCCCAAACCCAGCAAAGTTCTGGACTCTTCCAGGCGGGGACACACAAAGGGTGAGGTCTAGATTGGAGGATGGAAGGTCTCTGGTTTCCCTAGGCACCTTCCCCTGCTGATCCCTGACCCAGGAGGGAGCTGTTCTGTCAGACTCTGGGCATGTTTCCTCACTTCAATTAGTCCTCTGGACTATGAAGAAACAGCTCCCCAGTGACCACTGTACTGCCCATACCCTTCCAGGCCCCCTGCAAACCAAGAGTGTTCCTGGTTGCACATGTGCTTGTTGGGAGCCTCTACCAGTTCCCTGACTCCTGTCTTCTGGTTCAGGTGTGCTGCTCCTGGGCCAAAATGGGGGTTTATGGATAGTCCACAGTGTTCCTCGCTTTCCTCCACCTTCTTCCTCTGCTGCATACAGCTGGCCTCCTAATGCCCAACTCTATGGACAGACACTGCTCTGTGTGTCTTTTCCACTCGCCCAGTTCCCGAAGATTGGTGAGTGGGGAGGGGGAGGCACAGTGTGTTCCTCAACCCCAGACTACAATGTGGAACAAACAGTCCATCGTTTTTGCCTCCTTTTGTCTTTTAGGCAGACAGCTGACCTATACCTATCCGCTGGTATATGAACACAAGCTGGAAGGGGACTTCTCTGAGAAGTTCCCTGAGCTGGAGGAGTTGATCAAGGGCTACCATGTTCGCCATGAGCCTTGGAACAGCAGTGTAACGCTCACATCAAAGGCAGGGGCCATTTTCCAGAGCTTTGCCAAATTCGGAAACTTTGGAGATGGTGAGACCTGCGGTTGGTATGTACAGGGAGATCAAGAGTAAAGACTAGGCCTCTTTGGGAGTTACAGCATGAGATGTAGACAGTCAGTAGACCTGGGTTCAAATATTAGTTTCTGCCTGTGTGATAGATACATGATTTACCTGAAGCCTCAGTTTGCCTACTGAAAAAAAATGGTGACACTGGTAGCTACTTTAAAGAATTGTTATGATGCACATAGGAGTGTATACTAATGGCCATGGCAGTGAATCTTAACGTTCTCATTCCCAGGATTGTCAGGAATTGGCAACTGAGGAAACAGCTCAGAGAGAGAAAGTGACCTAGGAAATGCCTTGCAGTGCCCCTGACTCTACCTATATCTTCTTTCCACCCTCTGCAGACTTGTACTCCGGCTGGTTAGCAGGAGCCCTTGGCAGCAACCTGCAGGTGCAGTTTTGGCCAAACTCTCGTGGCACCCTGCCTTCCAACTGCTCTGGGGTCTATCAGGTGCTCGATGTGACCCAGATAGCCTTCCCTGGGTCAGCTGAGCCAACCTTCAGTGCCACAGAAGACCACTCCAAATGGTGTGTAGCCCCAGAAGGACCCTGGGCCTGTGTAGGTGACATGAATCGGAACCTTGCAGAAGAGCACCGGGGTGGCGGCATAGTGTGTGCCCAGCTCCCCACCCTTTGGAAGGCCTTCCAGCCTCTGGTGAAGGCCTGGGAGCCCTGTAGGGAGGAAAGCAGGGCCTTCTCTCCAGCAAGCTCAGGAGAATAGATAAGAGCTAAACCTTAATTATGTGTCTTGACCTGACTATGGCTCAGACTAATCATCTGGGAAATGGGGATTGTAGCACCTGACTCTGGAATGTTGAGGAGTACAAGAAGATTGATGAATGTGGTTATTAACCCTTTGTCAAGTAAGCACTGATCTCCAAACAGCACTGCAGCTTCCTCAGGGTCTTGAGGCAACAGAGATCCAAGGTGATACTGCAGGGCCTCCCTGGTGTTAAGTCACAGCACTGTAAAGCTACTATCCACACCCACTGCTTCCCGCTGCTCCTCTCAGTAGTGTGTTTCAGTTGATCTGCCTGTTCTGCTCCCCATTCTGTCTCTGGTGAATCCTCTCAGTGCCCTCCTGCACCTCTGGCCTGTACCCCACTTCTTGAATGCATAAATAAATCTTAAAAAAAAAAAAAAAACAAGTGGTACTAAAAAAAAAACAAGTGGTACTGCAAGAGAGGGTTCACCCAAGACCCACCTCCCTCTTTGGTAACCAGACAGGAGTTCTGCCCCCGAGCAAGCACGAGGCCACAAATGTGTTTTACTAGGGAGGAGGGATGAGTACAGAAAGGTCACGGAGCACGGTCGCACTTTATTTATATGTGTACATATGTATACAGTCGCTGTACAGCGCAGAGCCAGGAGTCCTCTCAGCTATGGGCTAGTTGGTGTGGGTCAGGGGGCCCCCTTTTTGGTCAGGCCTTCAGGGGGAGCAGCTTCAGCAGGGCACCGGGAGGTCAGCCCCACCTCAGGTTTGGTAACAGGAACCAGGAGGGAAGTCAGTGGGGCTGAGAGTCCTGCACCACTGGGTGCATTCTTTGGGGGGGTTAGGGCCAGGGTCTGGGATTCTGGGGAAAGTTTGGGGGAGGTGGGCTTGGAACGAGGTCCACTCAGGGTGGTCCGTTCCTCTACTACCTCCAGCACCCAGCGTTCCCGGCCCCGTGGGACCTCAGGGGCAGGAGATGCGAGGTGTACAGATTCCCGTGACCCCTTGGAGTCTGCTCCTGGTGGCTGGGGAGTCTGGACCTTGGTCCCTGGCCTCACTGGCTCTACTACAATAGGCACTGGAGGTGTGCCCACCTCACCAGAGCTACTACGCCTACCTGTCTCATGTTCCTGCACAGGACTCAGTGCCGCCTTAGCCACAGCCCTTGCTGCCCCACCCAAGACATCCTCTGTCTGCACACTCTGGTGCCGCGTGCAGCTGGTGTCCCGCTCCAGGGTCCTGCTCCCAGGGGTGGTTGCACGGGGTGGGGTAGAGGCCTCAGTGCTGCCGAGTGATTCCTCCTTATTAGACTTTGATGGCCTGAGGGCACCCTCAGGCAGCAGTGGGTCTGAGCTCAGGCTCAGGGGAGACTCCTGGCGGCCCAGGCGGCGAACAGCAACCTGTCGCTGAGCACCGGGACCCTCAATAGGGGGTGTCTCACCATCAGACTCTGCGAGGCTATGCAGCGCCAGCTCACCATGGAAGTCCTTTCGGAAATCTGGGTGGCCCACCTCAAGGCTGTGTTTGCGCAGGGCACCCTTCTTATCAGCACCTAAGGAGGCTCCCAGCTTCTCAGCTGACTGTACGCGTTTTAGAAGTGGTGAGCGTGGGGGTTCAGCACTCTTGGGGCGTGGGCGCACCACAGGTGGTGATGAGTGCAGCTTGGCAGGAAAGCTCTGTGTTGTGTTGGAGCTGCCCACGCTGTGGCCAGGCAGTGGTGGCGGTGAGGCCTGCGTCGGGGATGGTGTGTGAGCCAGTGGTGACAGAGGGATGTTACCCGCTGACTTACACCGAGCAGAGCGGTACTGGCGGTGCAGTTTTGGTGACAGACCATGCAGCGTGCTGGGCCGAATGTGGTGTGATGCAGACGAAGCTGGTGAGTTGGGTGTACTGGAGGCCGGTGAGCTGCTCTGAGAGGAGGCACCTGCAGTTGAGAGACGGTATTGTGTGCAGCTGGCACACCTGGGCTCAGTCCTACAACACATACCACAGTCTTGGCCCCCAGCACATGGCCAGCTTACCTAGGTAGGCAGAGTCCGGCGTGGAGCGGTAGCTGTGGGTGGGGGAGCGCGCTGGGAGCCCATGTGTGGGTGAGCCAGGAAGGCTGTCGCTGGATGACAAGGAGCGGTTCAGCGAAGACAGTGAGCGGCTAGTGTGCAGTAGATTTGACTGCTTTGTGATCTTCCGGAAGAGAGAGCTGCGCTTCTTGCTAGGGGGACAAGGCCACCAACCCTTGACTAGACCCCAAAACTCCCAGCTTCTCCCATTTTAGAGCTCACAATAGCCCCTGGGAATACTCTGCCCCTCCCTTTCCAGCCACCCACTTATCAAGATGGAAAGAATTTACCTGGTTGGTTCCTCCCAGCTCAAGACCTACCCACCCCTTTCTCACACTTTCTTTCCAACTTGGAAATATCCATCAAAGCAGAAAGAGCTTTCTGTCCTCACCCACTTCTCTAGTCCCTCTCTCTCCAGCAAAACCCACCTATCATTCAGTAAAGAAATTCACTTCACAGCTATGACTTCTCTCAAAGTCCCACTTATTCCTAATCCAGGCCAAACACTGTGCAAAACAGAGTACTCTTCTGATCCCAGCCTAGTCTCCCAGCATCTCCTAGTTAAAAGGCAAGAAATTATTGCAGTTGGCCCAGTCTTGCTTACTATGTGCATTCCAGATAGAAATCCCTGGTCCAGGCCCTCCCTGGTGCACAATGGGATAAAGCGCAGCACCAAGAAGCTATCTGCACCTACAACATGAGTTCAATCCCCAGCCAGGGAGGTGACCCACACGGCGTGGCAGACCTCTCCTGATCTGTCTGCTGCTCCCCTCAGCAGTGTATTTCAGTCAATCTGCCTGCTCTGTTCCCCACTCTGTCTCTGGTGAAATCTCTCCCACACCTTTGGCTTGTACCCCAGTTCTTATATGTGTAAATAAATAATTTTTAAAAGATTTATTTATTTATGCATACAGAACTGGGGTTCAGGCCAAAAGCAGGGGGCAATGAGAGGGTTCACCAGAAACAGAGTGGGGAGCAGAACAGACAGATCGGTGAAGTACACTGCTGAGGGGAGAAGTGGGTGAGACAGAAGAAGTCTGCTGCGCCATGTGAGTCACCTCCCTGCCTGGGGATCAAATTCACTCTGAAGCAGCTGCAGCCAGCTTTGTAGTGCTGGCTTTAACCTGTTGTGCCACCAGGGAGGGCCCATAAATAATTATTTAAAAAAAAAAAAAAAAAGAAAGAAAGAAATCCCTTGTCCTAGCCCTTACCAAATGTCTAAATGCCATCCCCTGAACAGTGCTCCCCTTTAGCTCCCACATCTGCTGGCTTTTTTTTTTTTATTTTACAAAAGTTTATTTTTACATCGTTTTGTACATTTTTTTTTTCCATCTCAATTGTAATCCCCACGGGTTTCCCATCACCAAGTCACCAGTGTGCCATCACCATAATCCCGTGCATTTCCCTCCCCACCCCCCACCCCCCGTTTTTGATCCCATTCCCCACTCCACCCCTGCAAAATGTCTCTGGTATATGATTGTTCATTATTTTTGTTATTTTCTCACCTGGTCCATTATACTCCTGCTATGAGTGAAACCATCCGGTATTTTTCTGCTTAACTTTTTTTTTTAAAAAAAAATTTAGGGCCCTACCTGGTGGGGCAACGGGTTAGGACACAGCACTGCAAAGCTAGCAGCAGCCACTTCAGTACAAGTTCAGTCCTCGGCCCTGGAGGCGCAGCAGACTTCTCCTGTTTCTCCCGCTGCTGCTCCCCTCAGCTGTGTACTTCATTGGTCTGCCTGTTCTGTTCCCTATTCTGTTGTGGTGAACCCTCTTACTGCTCCCATGCCTCTGGCCTGTACCTCAGTTCTGTATGCATAAATAAATCTTAAAAAAAAAAAAAAGAAGAAGAACCAAGTGCTTCAGGTCTGCAGGCTCAATAGCTCTTCTGAGAAGAGGAAGAAATCATTAAAAAAAATTTATTTATTTATGTATTTATTATTTGTGCATACAAGAACTGGGGTACAGACCAGAAGAGTAGGGGGTGAGAGATTTCACCAGAGACAGAGTGGGGAACAGAACAGTCAGACTGACTGAAATACACTGCTGAGGGGAGCAGCGGGCAGGTCAAGAGAGGTCTGCCTCACCATATGTGGGTCACCTCCATGGCCAGGTATCGAACTCATACTGCAGTGGCTACAGATAACTTCATTGTGCTGCGCTTTAACCCCTTGTGTCACCAGGGAGGACCAAGCTCTGCTTAACTTTCCAAGACACTCCTACAATGCCTATCTCCCTGCCTAAAAATCTGGCATGGCTTCCCTTTTTGAACCTTCCATTTTTCTAGCTTCTTCTCTGTTCTCTGGGTTTTGCTCTTCACTCAGAAACCAGAGCGGCTACCTGTGTACTTTGGGCTCCTGTCCAATCCAGTGGCCCACCCAGCCCAAAGTCTGACCCACTGCTCAAAATCTGTAGTGTTCTGAGTCCTGCAGTTAGTCCTATCCACTGCTTTTGGCCCCACGCACCTTTCCTGGCCCTCCTTGGCAGAAGGCCGCTTATTTCTCCGAGCCATTTTGGCCTTGTAGCTGCTGCGCCGCGCGGGGCCTATGCGGATGGAGGTATTTTCGAAGGGTGTTGTGGTTACCGCCACCTTGTTGCCACTCTGAGAGAGAGTAGAAAGGGAGGAAAGCAGTTGTGGCTCTCCGGGACCTCCTTCACCAGCCTTTCACCTCTGCCCGGGTGCTCTTCCCTTACACTCACCTTAAGGATCAGCTCCACGACCTCAGGATGCACCATGCCATGTACAGGCTCCCCATTCACATGGGTGATGAGGTCCCCGGCACAGAGGCCTGCTTCCTGGGCTGGGCCCCCCTCCTCCACGTGCTTTAACAGGAGCCCACAAAGGCAGGTTAACAGGATCAGTAACAAGGAAAGCTCACTAAGCTTATATGCCAGACACCTGCATGTACAGCAATTCTCATAACACTGTATGAAATGGCAATTATTTTCCTCACTTTACAAATAAAGTCACCAAGACTGCCTAAGTCCGGAGTTGGAGCTGTCCCTCATCCCTGGAAAACCTACTTTCTCCCCAACCCCATCCCAGGACACCCCCCATGAGTGCTCACCCAGACAATGTGGTGGACACTGTAGACATCTGAGTCACCCATGTAAACACGGATGGCTCGGAGAGTGAAGCCATACTTCTTGCCTGAGCGCTGGATGGTGATGGGAGAGCGAAGCCCGCTCACAGCTGGTGAGTAGTCCCGACTGGGTGAGGAGTCTCGTGAGGATGGGTTG